TAAAAAATTGGAATTGTGCTCAGCTCATTGAATAAATCAAACTCATTTGCATACCGAACTGATAAATTATAGCGCAGGCCCGAAAAAAAAAAAACAGGCCCGACAATTGACACAAAACTGGCCCGATCCGGGAACAACCCTTCTCCGGGCAAAATGAGCAACCACCCAAAAGTATAAGGTCACCCTTCTGGTCAGGATTCTGTTTCCCATGAGATTGCTCCAAGACCTAAAAAGACTGTATATGTATGTATATAGTTTACGGAGAACTCGTTACATATATATAGACTCATCTTGGGGGAAAATTGCACATAATTAATTATATAAACAGTGCAAACTATAAAGCTCAATCGACCATCAGACGATTCCAATGAAAAGAAATATTCTAACGAAGCTATAGCCCAGCTATATAGACCAGCTAGGCTGGGTAAACAACACTTTGAGAGTTATGCCACATCAAATATTTCAATAAAATCAAATTAAACATAAAAATACTGGCTGGTATTTTTGGGGGGAAAACGCAACTATGGCGGATTGCAAATTGTAACAAGCACTCAAAAGTCAAAGCGAATTAAATTCTAAACTAATTTTCATGTCGTGCCAAAAATAATAAAAAAAATATCAGCCAGACAGATAGATAGACAGAGAGGCTGAAAATAGGGGCGTGGGCGAAAACCAACAACTTAATTAAAGCATCAATAAAAAATTGTAAAAACATCTGAAGAACGCCACGAGGACAACGTTGTAAAAATGCACTGTCTGCAGTTTCAGTTTTTAAGAAAAAATAAAAAAATAAATATTAAGAATGTGAAGCCTAATGGAACCGCCAATAAAATCCTTGATCCCAAAGTCTTCCATCTATCCGCCGGCCAAACTGCCAATAATGATGATTCCTTTTTAATGTGCACGCTGCTCCCCAGGCGTTGGTAATTACTCAGGAAAGCTGAAACCTGGATCCAGGAGATCTTTTTTTTGCATTCAACATATCGATCACACAAAATGTTGCCAATACGACTAAGCTCTCGAAAAAAAACTCTCGAAACTCATCATCATCATCATCCATGGTTCAGACAGTTCTTGACTCTCCAAAAAAAATCAGAAAAAAAATAAAAAGAAGAAGGGGCGTGTACAAAATGATATTTTATTCAATATCCTCGGTGGGTATACCGGAGTTTCGAGAACCCCAGCGATTTGTCCTTTTCTCAGATTGATGGAGAGGAGACTGTGGCGGCCTGAGAAACCTGAAATTAAAAACTCATAAGATATCGACTGATATATTGAGCTGCACAAATTACTGACAACTGCCAAGATGAAAGAAGCCTCTATATATAGAGAGAAAACAAAAGAGAAAACCCAAGACAGGTTTGCCATCCTTCCCCCAATGCACTATACATATATACAATATATCCCTCCTGAAGAGTACAGACTCCCGTAGTATGCATATAAAAAGACAATTAGTTGTTATTAAGTTGTACACAAAAGCCGTTGAATCTTTTCTTTTCTTCGGGCCAGTCTTCGGCAGTATTTTTGGCCAGACTTTTGTGTCTAGATGCGGAATTAATGATGCAATATGACAATTGATGCACACCACGCAAGCATTTATGCTCATGATGTTTATGCTCAATTAGTGTCATCATCGCAGCTCTATGGGGGCTTTTAGATTCTAGTTAAGGTGTTGGATCGATCGCTGACTGGAGACTGAAGAAGCTTAAGAGGGGAGACCCTAAATACAACTTCACTATGGTCCAGGCCAGGCTTTTGGCTTCAATTAGCTTCAATGGCTATTCATAATTAATGCCATAAAACCGGAAAGAGAAAAAGAAACAGAAAACACATAATAATCATAATAATAAAAATGATCAGCAGCAGCAGCAAAAGTTCATGAACTCAATTTTTAATAATAATTTCCAAATGATTTTTTATTTCACATTATTAGTTGCGTGGTGGATCGAGTTCGAGTTGTTTGGGTTCTCTCTCTCGGTTATACGGTCTCGATTCGGCATCAACCCACCCACAAGCTTTTAATTGTTCGATTTTCATTTCGATTCGTCTCGTTTCGTTTCGTTATAGATACAATTTCCACAACCCAACACCCCCACTCCTATACCAGACCATAACCATAACCATATTATACCCATTCTATGAGGGGGAACAGACTGTCCATGCTGTGGATATTTCTGTTCATCGGAGGCAGAATAGCTTCTGTGCTTCTCTGTGTGTTTTAATTTCCGCGCTGACAAATTAATTTAATTATATTAACATATCTTTCCAGCGATCGAACGATTGAATCGACTGAAATATTTTTCGAATGCCCCCCCGGCCGAATTCTGATTCTGCTGTTGCTTCTGTTTTGATTCGATGATGATGAGTGTGGGTGGGTGATGCTAGCAATTCTGTGATTCTGTCAGCTTGCCGTATAACCCCTTCGCATCGGCACAGTCGGGGTCTCTGACTCATTAGCTGGCTGCCTTCTCTCCACAGTAAATTGCACTTAAAACGCTAAAAATTATGCGACACACGCCGATCCGTATCTGACTAAATGAGTATCTGTGTATATCTGTGCGTATCTGTGCGTCTATGTATCTAAGGGCTTAAAAGTAACGACAGTACAGGGACAACCCTGTAGCTCTGTATCCCTGCTGGGCATACTCTGGCTGCTCATTTTCGGCATATGCAAATGCCAACGCCATCTTGAAAAATTAAACTCTATAAACTATCAGTGCTCGTCCCCGTCTATATCCGTATATCCTTTCACATATCCGTATCTGCATCTGTGAGATGGTGGTGGTGGCTAGCCCATAAACCGGTTTCAATTCGATTAAAACGGAACCCAAACCTAAAACCCAAAAACCCAAACTCAAAAAAAAAAAAAAAAAACTTGAATTTTCTCTCATCTTTTTCCCCCTAGTTCAGTTTCTGTTGCTGCTACTTTTTTTTTTCGTCAGCAAATGCATTTGGCAATTAGTTTTGTTTTGTTTTCCCATTTCCAGTTTGGATCAGCACAAATCAATGACAAACTTTGCTTTCTGGTAATTGTAGAAGCCAAGAGCCGAAAAGTCTTCTGGCTCTGTCTCTGTCTCTAGCTCTAGCTCTAGCTCGGTTCGATGTTAATGGGTCAAGTTTATAGATTGCATTACGGAAATTAATTTTGCTCTTTTTCGACGCTCTTGTTCGGTTTTTTTCCTAGATTTTTTTGTACTGCTTGGTTTGTGCTGCCACCGTTCGCTTCGTTCTATATTTAATGACAAATTTTGTGTTAATCAAGCACATTTTATTGTTGCTCTGTTTTTGTACGTTGGGTCTTCGATTTGTGTCAATTCTGATACCCTTGCAGGCCGCTATCATTTGGCTAGAGGTGCTTCTAAAGAGACCAAGCACGATCGGAGTGTTTTTGGTCCTTCGAGACACTATCACTAATCAGAAGAGACTTTTTTGGTCTTTCGAGACACTATCACTAATCAGAAAAAGACTATATTGGTCCTTCGAGACAGTATCACTAAGAAATAATCAGATAAGACTATTTTGGTCCTTCGAGACACTTATCTAAAGCCTGGAGGGTATTAGAAATTCGACTTTGGGCAGACTCCACCATTCCCTACCTCTACTCTACATGACTTTCTGTTCTGAACGATCGAGGAATGTAAATAAATAAATAAGGAATACTATAAAAAGTATTTCATCAACTCATTTAGACAGCTGTAGACGGTAGACCCCGTACCCCGTGCCTCTTCCTCATAACAAGTCTGCGGTTTGTTTAATTTACTTAATAAAACTTCTATTTTTGGTCGGCAAATTAATATTCGTGTTGAATAACCTTTTTTCTTTGGCTGGTTTTTGGTTCTGTTAGCATTAGCTCTTTGAAAACGCTGTTCTAATTTTGAATGCATGACGGTTCTATAGATTGGGATACTTGAGAACTGGGTACTGGGTACTGGGGTACTGGGGACCTTTCGAATATTGTTATTGATTCATTGATTGCAATCGATCATCGGGCTTTTAGACCCATCAGACTGATCGTTAAGACAGGCAGATCCGAGTACTTTTAACGAGCTTGTCGGCCTGCTTTGGTTTTGGAGGTTTCTTGGAAGCAATATCTCGTATAAGAACGTCACTTACCGACGGCAAATAGCATCCCGAAAAAATATGTGCAATTAAAAAAAAAAACGCGATGAACTCAACCCAATTAAATCGGCAAATATAGTTTAGAGTTGTCTAGTATATATATATATATATATATGCTCGATACTGGGCATGTCTAGTCTGGCCCCTGGGACTCCTGCCCGGAGTCTGGCACTTGGCCAGCAATGTATTCGTCAGAGTCGTCTGGCCTGGGCTATGGGGCCGTGTCTGGGCGATCTTGTCTGGATCTCTGGTAACTCCTCTTCCCCAGAGCTGGCTGGAGAGTTAGTCGACCAATAAATCGTTCGCTTATGGCTGGCTTGTTGCACTTTGCATTTCTGTTCCGAAATCAATAATCGCAGCAATGTAAATAACGTTTTTCACAAAAAAAAAAAAACACAATATTAGACAACAATACGGCAGTAGCAACAATAAAGTGCATTTGCCGCAGACACGCAAACTCAATTAGTTGGCTTAAGTTGGTCTAAGCAGGTGGAAGGGGGAGGGGGCGGAGGAGGAGGAGGTGCGCGACAGTGGGCGGTGGGTGGTCTAGGGCTATTGTTTTTTTCAGATGGGATGCGAGAGTTCCGATTCTGATTCAATTATTGTCACTAACTGATGGAAAACTAGCACTCTAACTGAGTATCTGAATATCTATCAGGTATCTCTCAGATACAGAAGAATCTCAGAAGAATCGAACCAAAAAAATTCCAAGATTTTCAAGAATCTTTTGAATATCGAAAGGCATTTTTAAAAGTCTCCCAATATTTTTGGAAGAGATAGAGATGGAAGCACTCTTGCACTACAAACGACACTGTTTCAACACTCAAAGATACAATAGAATATCTTGTATCTTGTATCTTGTATCTTATAAGTTAACTTACCTGTTGCCAAAATTGTGCCAATAAATAAATTTGCTCCTTTTTGAAAAACCAATCGTTGATTGATTGAACAGCCGTCAGATCCATATCGGCTGTCCCAGCGGCTTGTGGCAATGTTGGCTGCATTCGTGGGCTTTCAAGTGAATATAGTTTCACGGGGGGACTATAGTTCGATATCGGTTTTCAGATATTTGCTTCTGATGATGTTGTTGTTGTTGTTGATAGTTGCATTTGGCCTGACATTTGGTGACCCCCGAAATAGTTCTTTTCTGTTAGTTTTGGGTTTTTTTAGTAAAGTTTGTTCTTTTGTTTCTTGTCACATCACAATTACACCCTATTTATGTATAAATATTATGTTTTGTTTGTTTGTTTTGTTGTTATTGTTATTTTACGTGCTCAAAAAAATTCATAAAATTATTCATTTAAAAATAAGCCAATTTTTGATTCGTGATGGAAGCTGGGTCGGGCCGGTCGGTAGTCGGTCACTTTTTTTGGTCACTTTCGAGAGTTGAGAAAGGGTCAAGAGGTTGAGAGATTGTTACAGATGTTGCTTGTTGTTGTTGCTAATGTTGTGTGTTGCAGATGACTTGATGTTGTTTGTTGTTGTTTTTTTTATTTGGATTTTAATTTTGGATTTTGTTTCGTTTTTTTTTTTTTTTATTTTTCAGGCCATTATTGTTGCCGTTGTAAGAGAGTGTTGCAGCTGATGTTGCAGATTATTTTGCACATGTTTCGTGTTGTTGTTGTTGTTGTTGCTGATGCTGGCGCGTTTGCTGCTGTTGTTGTTGTTGATTACACTTGACACTCATACACGCGCACATTTTCTTATTTGAAAACAAATATATATGTATATGTATGTGTATATATTTTTTTTTAGAAAATCACTCGAAAAAAATATAGTGTTTTAAAAGTGATATCTCGTCCTGGCTGGAATTTGTTTTCGACTTTCGAATGATGTTTATATTTTTGGGACTATATAGATATAGTATATCCCTCACACACACACACTTTCTCACACATTCTCACACTCAGACACACTCAGGTGTGTGTTGTTTTTTTTTTTCATTCAATCTTGTGTTACAAAAATTCCCTAAGTTCGATTCTCGGCTGGCCCGATACTCGATTCTCCGATTCTCGATACACCGATTCACCGAATCTCGAATTTCTCCCATTCGAGTCTCACACGAGTTGGCGACGTTGCCAGTCACGAATGCTGTTGATGACTGAACAAATCGAACCCTAACGAAGCGCCGACAACCCTCCAAAACATCTAGCACGCACACACTCGCACACACTCGCACACACACACACACACACACACACCCATCTACGCGCACTGTACATACACATACATTCGTACCCGTACCCATGGGGGTCGCGTGTGTGTTGGTTCGTACTGTCTCGGGCGGCCACTCGGGTTCAGATTCGGCTCGATTCCACTCCGCTCAACAGAGAGAGAGATGGGGCCGGTGCCAGTGCGAGTGCGGCGAGTGCGAGCGAGTGCAAGCGAGATGCCGCCCGAGAGCCGAATCCGAGACCGAAACCGAGTCCGAAACCGAGTCCGAGTCCGAGAGAGAGAAGCACTCAATTCGCTGCCAACTGCACGCTTTTGATTTCTTTCAATAGGTTTTTGATTTTTCCTGCTTTTTATTTCATTTTTTTGTGTTTTTTTTTTCTGGTTCTTCTCCTCTTTTTTTTTTTTTTTTGAGCATTTTTTCTGCGCCGTCGCTGTCAGTTGCATGTATTGAAATTCATTCATTCAACGGTTCCCCCCCTCACCGCCCCCTTTTTGCCATCTCTCTCGCACAGTGACGCCTTTTTTTTTTTTGGATTGGGAAAAACTTATGGGGGAGGGGGGAAAAGCGAGCTAAAGCTGAAGCTGTAGTTTTTGTTTATTGAGCCGCAGATTGAGTGCAACGTCGACTGAGACAGTGGCAGAGACGTCGTGAAATCGTCCAGCAAGGACGCAGCGGCGGCGGCGACGGCGACGGCGACGGCGACGGCGGAAGAGAGAGCGATATTTCTTGAGTGAGAGGGGATATAAAGCGATTTGGTTGCGGAATCGGGGATTTTGGATTTCGGATTGGGATTCAGAATTGAGATTGCAACTTCGGTTTTTTGTCGTGCACTTGTTTTTATTTATTTTTATTTTAGAGGAGGAGAGGGGGATGGGGGAGGGGGGAGGGATAAGGGTAGAGGGGTATGGGTAAGTTGTTGAAATTATTATTGTGTCTGGGCTTTGGTTAGTTGTGTTTTTTGTTGGCAGTGTAAGGTTGGAGCGAAATGTTGGAATTGGAAAATAAATTGAAGCTTCAGGATTTCATCTTGATTGGCAGCAGGAGAAGAGAGGGGTTTTTTTAATATTTTTAAGATATTTAATAAATAATTAAATAAATAAATAAATATATTAAAGATATAAATATGTAAAAATTAAGTCGATATAAATATATAAAGATTAAGTCCTGTAGATTAAAAAATACTAAAAATTAAAGTTTATTTATTTTTTTGAAACCCCAAAACCACTTCTAGTATGCTTCAAACTCTATAGAATATTTAATAGACCCCCCCTACAGAGGTCCCCCTGTGGGACTTTCCCATAAAGAAAAGTTCAAATTGTATCGAAGCGCCAAGTGCAATGGTTCTTCTACTATCCTCCTCCACCTATAAGAATTGCTGAGAATCCGAGTCGCAGTCGCAGATGCGTTGCGCTGCAGTCTGAGAGAAAAAAAAAGGGCCGGGAAAGTGGGCCGGGAAGTGGGCACGTCCCCCAGCTCAGAGACGACTTTGTTGTCGTGAGTGAGGAGGAGGGAGGAGAAGCCCCCTGCACGAAGACAAAAACTCAGGATTTCGGATGCTCGGTTACGCTGCTGGCTCTGTCGACGTCTCGGTCGCTGCTAGAGACTCATTTCATTTTATTGCTATTAGATTTTTTTTTTTTTTTTTACCACTTTGTGGGCTTTCATATTTCTCTCATTCCAAAATTGAGGTTTTTTTTGAGGTTATTTCCCAAAATAGAGGCCCTGAAAAGGTCAATCCAACATCGATCGAGGTTCAATCTCTAAGAAAGAACAAGTGCCGTCCAAAAAATCCCAACCAGATAACCCAAAATCCGCAAAAGAACAAAGCCGGTAGATAAAACACTCAAAGCAAAAAGTACTCACTCACTCACTCACTCACTCGCTCGTTCGCTTCACTTCCGTCTCCGTCTGGCGCACGACGTTTGAGTTGCAGTTGCAATCGAGCGCAGGGGCGCGGACAAGTTCGAAAATGGTTCGAACACCGATTCGAACTTGTTGAGTCTGATTTTTTTTTTTTGAGAAATCCAGGCGATGGAATGGAAGACCCTTTAATTAAAGAAGTTAGTCCTAGACCAGTAGTCCTTGGATTTTTTTGAAGAATTTCGAAAATAGACTTTCGAGAATAAAAATTTTTTACTGTTTCTCTGATTATCGATGAGTATTGACTGAGAGATCGTTTTCAAAAATTGATACAACAGGTAGAACAGTGCTTTCTGTGATCGAGAATTAGAAAATAGGGATATGTAGCATAGTCCTACCATAAAGCTCACTCGGTTAGCCGAGGAGGAAACCCACTCATATGACAGGCGTTTCGCTCTCTGTTTTCGATAATTCCCATAATAAAACCCCCCAAAAAAAAAAAAAAAACACACACACACAGATACACTCATACACTGACAAGTGTCACAAAAAAGTCAAAGAAGCGACAAAGCAGCAACGCCAGCAGTGGCTGTGGCAGCGCGTCAGCGACAAGCAGACAGAAACAGAAGCAGAAAAAAAAGAAGAAGAAAAAAGAAAGAAAGAAAGAAAAAAAAAAAAAGCCAAAGCAAAGCGAAGCGAACGATTTAAGCCCCGCCCCATTTGATTGGCGAGCAAAAAGCAAAGCAGCAGCGACACACCATCGTCAATGGACAACAACACACACATGTGTATCTCAGGTGTATGTGTGGCGTCGCTGCCTCTGCTACCTGCGCAGCAACTGCGGCGGCAGGCAGCACATCATTCATTCAAGCGCAGCGCGCCACAGCATCAGTAATGAGCCAAAAAGAAACTATAGAAGAGAATTTCAAAAAATAAATTTTAAAAAAATATTGAAAAATTTTCCAAAAAAAATAAGTAATATTTTTGATTTTAATAATTTTATGGTGGGAGAGGGGGGTGGTGTGCTGGCCCCAAAAAAAAATGACTACTGAGCGCCATTGAATGACTCTTGTTCTTCGAACTGCCTTTTGGGCTTTGATTTTTCTTTCTTGGCTTTCAAGTTTACTTTTTACGCCTCTCGCTCTCGCCGGGACTCGCTTCTTCTCGCTCGGCCAGCCCACTCCACTCACACTTGCACTCACACTCACTCTCTCTCGATGCGCGCAAGCGCTCTCTCTCTTCCCCTTTTTTGAGTGCGATATATTTTTTTTTGTTGGTTCCTTTACTTTTATTATTTTTGTTTTATTTGTTTTTTTTTCGTGTTTTGGAGCTCTGCCGACAGCGCTGCTGCCTCTATTGGGGCTGCATGTGTGTGCAAGCGAGCCGGCACTAGGCAGGTGCCGATGATGCTCGCTGTTGACGTTGCCGTTGCCGTTGCCCCTCTCTTCTTACCGTTCATCGCTTACTGCTCACTGTTTGGCTCTTTTGTTATTTGTTGCTCTTGTTGTTGTTGTTGTTGTCGCTGATTGAAATTATGATTTTTTATTATTAGTTGTGCGTGTGTGTGTGTGTGTGTGTGTTCGGCCTAACTGTTAAAGTGTCATATTAGCGTTGTTTTTGGTTGGCTGCCTCCACACGAGTGCGTTAGTATGAGTGCATGAATGTGTGCGAGAGTGTGCATGAGTGTGCATGATTGTGCATGAGTGTAAGTGAGGCAAATTGATTTGATTTGTTTTTGAGTTTTTTTTTTCCTTCATTTCATTTTCTAAGGTTTTTTAGCCTTTTTTTTGGTAACTCTAGGGTTGCCGCCACACACGCCCCTTAATGCGTTAATTACTGTTAATTAGACGTAAACATGAAAAATTGCAAAAAAAAAAAAAATACATCGCTTTCCCTTTCAAAACCAAAAAAAAAAACAAAAACAACAACTGCAGATTGACGGCAATTACAGGAGAGCTGCTGGCGTCGCGGTCGGCGTTAGCAGCACCGCAGGACATCGACTGCCTTTTGACCTTTTCGGCAAAAAAAAAAAACCCACAGAGAGAGAGAGGAAGAGGAGTGAAGAATAAAACAACAAAGCAAATTGCATAACACAACAGACAACAACAACAAAACACACACATGCGTAAGAAGAAGAAGAAGAAGCAACAGTTGATATACAAACCCCCTATTGTTGTTGTTGTTGTTGTATATTTTGCATTATTTTGCAATAAATGCGCGATAATTGCAACAACACACACACACACACACACTGCCACAGGAAAGTGAGAGTGAGAGAGGTAGAGGGAGAGGAAGAGGGAGGTATTGCAAGTTGCAAGGCCATCCCAAAAGGGGTTGATGCGCTTCCCCCCCTAATTGGGAGAGTTGGGAGTTTTTTTTTTTTAGAGAGACTCAAGGACATAACAGATATAGGCAAAGCGTGCTATTTTTCGCACAGTGCATCCCACAAAAGTGGTGAGTCCTGACGAATCCAGGGGGGAGGGAGGTTGCAAGAGCAACAGGCGGCAATTGTTGCGCCACAACGTCGCTAATTTCGTAATAGAATAGATACATACTCTGACATGAGAGCAGGTGGACTGAGTCCTTTCACTCCTTTAATCCTTGAAAGAAACTGCGTACTTTAACGACTGAGAGGACATGGTGGAAAGGACATCGCGCCCTGGGCCAGTCGCCGATCGGCGATCGCCGATCTAAGCACCCCAGCTGCCACAACAATTAAACACCTTTTGGAAGTCCGCGAAAAGGGTGCCTTGGCCGGGTACAAGCCGGGTGGTGTACAGTACCCGGGGACCTTCGGCTCGTGCTAATTTGCATATTGCAGGAATTCCTTCCTTCCTTTTTGGACCGACCGACCGGCCCACTTCCTAGGCTCTTTTCTTTCGTTCTCGCCGCCTGGTTTTCTTCGGATCTTAAATTATTATAATTTGCGGGCATTGGGGGATGGGTTCATGATGAGGTGATGGGTGACAGGGTGTGCAGCTGCCACCTCAAGTTTCGATTTCGTGAAAATTGGCAACGCTGCTGCGAGATGATCTTGCGATACAAACTTTCAATATCTCAAAAAAGAAGTAATAGTA